GAGCCAGAGGAGGTGAAGCAGTACCGAGAGGAGCACGAGTTGCTCGGCCGGCTCGAAGGAGGACGTGCACATGTACGACGCCGCCGACGCGGCAGCCGAGCCGCGCGCTCGCCGCGAAGACGGCAGCACGGCTGCAAACGCGGGAAGCTTGATCCACGTTCCGAGAATGCCGAGGTAGTGGTTTCCACTCAAGGATCCGAGGCGGAAGAGGCCGTACGAGGCCGACTCTGCGCCGACGCTCGCGTGCAGGCTGGAGGCAAGCGAGCTAAGCTTACCGAGAAGACCGCTCGGGTGCTCGGCCAGCGACTCGAGATGCTCGAGGAGTGAGCTGTGCGATGGCTGGGTGGCCAGCAGCGTGGCGAGGAGGGCGCCGGTCGCCAGGTACCGCGGCCAACGGGGTTTCTCGGCGACGATGGCGCCGTCCGCGAGGCGGCGGCCGCCCATGAGGCACGGCGGAAGACGAAGCGGGCAAAAGAGAATTCGCCTGCCTTGCGAACACCCACGCTTGGGCAGGGGGTGAAGAGGACCCCCTCCGCCCGCCGAGATGCCGCCAACCGGGAGTGCTCCGCCGCCACGCCCGACTAATGAACCCCCGGCACGTCAGAGAGGATTGCGCCGAGAGATGTCGTGCGCGAATTTATTAGAATGGTACGCTCTCTCATCACAAGCCTAGGCACGGGAAGACTGGCGCGCACTGGCACTAACAAGCGGGCAAAAAGTTTCCCGAGGCTTGCGCCAGCGAATGCAGAAGAAAAACGGCACTTACGCGCGTCCTTTTGAAACGAAAGTTGCCCGGCGAATGGGCGACGAGGGCGGGGCCGCAACTGCATGCCCGCCGGCTTGGCGAGACGGTCTACTCGAGTCGCACCGCTGTTCGATCCGGCCGAGCGGCAAGTTGCTGGGGCCTCAGAGCACACGGGCTCGCGGGGGCGCCTGCCCTCTGACGATCTTGATCGCATCACGAAACAACAGTGGCTCGTAGCGCGCAAGGCGGAGTGGGAAGAGGCGCTCAGACGCCGCAAGCTCATGACGTACAGCTTTGACTCCCCCTCCACGCTATCACAGAGGCTGGCAGGCCGGGTGATTTCGGAACAAGCCGCTGGCCCCGAGGACGTTGAGTGCGAATGGCTTCAAGCCGCACTCCTCCGACTGCGCCGAGAGCAGGCTCGTGAGCTTGCCGACTCCATAACGTTCCTGCAGGGAACGCCACGGCGGCCGCGGTCTGCGAGCGCCCCTGGCCTCGCCCGGTGCGTCGATGTTGATTGTACGACGAGCCCTACCTCCTCTCGTGCCGCGGCCGCCCTGCCAAGCCGAACACGCGGATCACGGTGCGTGGGAACCCTGCTTGACTCACCGCTTGAGAGTGGGAGCCCCCTTGAGCTTTGAGTTTCCCTTCTGCGCGTGTGTCTGCGACATCCAAAAAAAAACTTGGCCACTCAGTCTCTTAGAGTCTCGACTGGGGGAAACTACTGCACACCTCGATGCTCAAGCTGACTCTGACGGGCACGGATGCTGGCGAGGGAGTGGGACGCGGCGTGCCGGACGGGCAGAGGGCATGCCGGGGTGGCCAACACACGACGAAGCCGGTCCATGGCTGCGGGAATGGCCTCGCGCGCCGCGGCTGAGTCGCTGCTGAGTGCCTCGCCCAGCAGCTGCAGTGCCGTCGACGCCGGGAGCGAGCCCGCGTGCGGGTTCCGCAGCGAGAGGAGGACCGTGTCGTCCACCGCGCGGAGCAGCGCGGCCAGGAGCGCGCTCGAGCCCCTCCGGGGTAGCTGTGCCATCGCGGAGCTCAGGACCGCCGACGGCTGCACCGCGCTCAGTCGCATGGAGCAGGAGCGCTGGCGCATCCACAGAGGCTCGCTCAGCGGAGGCCCCGGCGCACGCAGCGACTCCTCGACGAGCCGCACGGCGGCGTCGATCGCGCCGGCGCGTCGCACGGAGTCGGGGTCGGGGCGGGAGGCGTCCGCGGCGCCCATGACGGGCTGAGTGGGCGCGAGGGGTGCCGGGCAGAGCCCTAGCTGCTGCAGCGAGAGGAGCGTGAGCACGAGCGAGTGCCAGCCGGCGGGGCCGAGCTCCTCGGGCAGCGCTCGCGCCACGGCAAAGGCGGCGAGGACGAGGCGGATGGGGCCGTCGGAGTAGGGATCGGAGGCGCCTTGCGACTCGTGGAGCAGAGGGGCGGCGACGCGCGAGCCGGCGCAGAGGGCACGCACGACGGCGTCGACCGCATCGCCAGCGCCGCCAGCGACACCGACGGGTCGCCCTGGGGAAGGGGGGGTGCTCGCCCGCAAGCACAGCATCAGCAAGCGGACGGCGCTCTGCCAGTCTGGCTCCTCGTCGACCAGCGGCGCGGGTCGAAGGCCTTCGTCCGCAGAGCAGAGCCAGAGGTGGCGTGCCGCGGCGTCGAGGGCGACCGGAAGAAGCGGCGCGGCGACAGCCTCGTCCAACTCCCGGGACGTCGTCCCGTTGCGCGCGCTCGCGAGGCGCCGTGGCGAAGGCGCACTCCTCCACCGCTGGCGCAAGTAGCGCCACCGCCACACGGAGACGGCGGGCGGCGAGGCTGCCTCTGGCGGCTGCCATGGCTGCGGCTGCCCTGGCGGCGGCCGTCCCGGCGGCTCGTCGTGCGCCTTGAGCTCCTCCGCCGCGACGGCGTCGTAGAGGGACCCCAGGTAGTCGGCGGGGACGTGGCTGGCCGCGCGGCGCGTGTTTGTGACGAACTGGAGCTTGCTCATCTTGCTACGCACCGACGGGTTGTGCTGGTCGACGTTGAGCATCATCACCGAGAAGGCGACGGCGTACACCTCGTCGGCGTCGCGGAAGGGGGCGTGCCCGTCCCCGAAGTAGGAGCGGGCGAAGGCTTGCATCAGCCGGTCTATCTTTTGCGCCTCGCCGGGGCAGCGCAGGGCGGCGAAGAGGAGGCGCAGTGCGTCGGGCAGGCTCAGCGCGCCAAAGTCGAACCGCGCGAGGAAGGCGGCGAGGGCTGCGGCGTACCTCGGCTCGGCTCGCGTGAGGAGCTCGCCCAGCTCGCGAGCAGGCAGGCCCTCCTGCTCGGCGGGCCAGGGGGGGGGTGCGGGAGGCGAGCGGGCGGCGAGGGAGGCCGGGAGAGCGGTGCGGGGCTTGCACGGCGGCGCCACTGCGGTGAGGGTGGAGGGGAGGCGAGCCCTCCTGCTCAAAGAGCAGCGCGCCGAGCTGCTCCCCCACCGCCTCGTCGCTCTCCCCGGGCCCACCGCCACCCACGAGCCCCGCCTCCTCCAGCATGCGAACAGCCTCCTTGCCGCGCCCCGCGCCCATCGCCTCGGCGACTCTCCGAGTGACTGCACGGCGCTCGGCCGCCTGCTGCAGCCGGCTCGGCGCCTATTCATCGATTGAAGGCTCATTCATGCATTGATCCGCCTCGTGCAGCCGGCCCGGCGCCTCGCGCGCCTCGTCGAGCGGTGTGTGCGCGGGCGGCGCCTCCGAAGTCCGCGCCTCGAGGCACTGGGAGAGGACCGAGGCGCACACTCGCAGCCGCAGCCCGCTCTCCTCGACGGTCTCGCGGCGCGGATCGCCAGGGCGATCGCCAGGGCGAGGCGGCCGCAGCGCGTCGCACACCTCCTCCCACCAGCCAGGCTTGTGCGGAAGGAGGTCGCCGTGTGAGACGAGGGAGCGAGCGGCCCCGGGCTGCGTCAGCAGCGCCTCCAGGCAGCGCAGAGCGTCCACGCGCCGGCCCAAAGACGACTGGCTCGTCGTCGGGCTCGTGAGCAGCGCGAGGGGCAGCTGGCGCAGGCCCTCTCCGATCTCGCTCCGCAGCGAGCTGGCGCATGGCAGTGTGTGGAGGAGAGGAAGGAGCCGCAAGGCAAGCGTCGAGCAGGCCGGGCCCCGTCGCCCCGCCCGCAGCACACCCCACAAGAGGCGCTCGCCCAGTGCTTCGCCCAGCGGCTCGCACCGCCGCCCGAGATCGCCCGAAATCGCCCGAGATCGCCCGAGATCCTCGGACCGCCGCCCCGGCGGCTCCGGTTCCGGTTCCGGTGGGGAGGCAGCCTCGGAGCAAAGCAAGGCCGAGAGCACACCGAGGCCGAGGGCGCACCGGCTCTCGGACGCGGTGGCGGCCCCGGGGTCGCCGGCCAGCCACTCCTCGAGCTCCCTCACCACCCACAGCCACAGCTTGCTCGCCGTCGACGCCTCTGCTCCACCTGCTCCCTCCGCCTCCCGCAGCTCCAGGGCGCGCACCGCGACGAGCGACGCCAGCTCGACCGCGTGGACGGGCGGCAGACGGCCGCTGAGCACGCCGTGGGAGCACGAGCGAAACACAGTGCTCGCGACGGCGGCCGCCGCCTCTCGATCCGCCTCTTCCGCACCGCCCTCGCCCTCGCCGAGGAGCTCGAGCGCGGCGGCGGCACACTCGCGCAGCAGCGCCACCGCCGCAGCGTGGCTGCTGGAGAGAGAGCCGTCGGCGCCCGGCACTCGTCCCAGTGGGTGCAGCAGCCAGTGGCGTGCCACGGCCGCCACTCTGGAGAGGGTGTCTGGCGTGCAGCGACTGCCAGCGGCGCGCAGCAGGCGCACGAGAGCCCACAGAGCGGCGGTTCGCGCCGGCTCCGCGGTCTCCGCGCCACTCGCCACGGCGAGAAGTGCAGCCGTGCAGCGTCCGCTCGCATCCTCTGCGCTGCTGGAGAGGAGTGCGTCGAGCGAGGCGTGGTCGAGGGCGCGGGCGAGGCGGAGCGGCTCTGGCCGGTCCGTCTGAGCACGCAGAGCATCCGCGACACGCTGCGTCTCGCAGGATAGCGCAAGGGTAGCGGACACGCGCGGACGTGTGCCACTGAGTGGCAGGACTAGGAGGAAGAGCATTCGTGTGGTTGCGGTACGCTGTATCGGCAGCAGGGCCTTCAGCGGCTGCGCCGCCCTCGCGTCGACTCGGTGGCGTGCACGTATTTTTCTTTTTGAGAGCGCCTGTTCGTTGTAAATAGGTCGACTCCCTTTGCTGCCACTCATAAAATCGTTGGGTCGCTTCAGTTCACGAAGCGCTCCTAGCCGCGAGTGTTGTCCTAGGGTGAGTGTCGCGGTGAGCGCCATGCGGATGATCCTGCGTGTCTGCCGCCGCTGCTGGTCCACCGACCGCAGTGCACGCCTCCTCGACGTGCAGGTACGCGTCGCGAAAAGTGGAGCCCCAGCGGTCGACGAGGTGGCACTCGTCGTAGGCCCAGGCGAGTATCTCTCCTTTGCGCGTGGCAAGCGCCCACTGCATCGCCGCGCTTCGAGCTGTCCACCGCCCGCTCTCCTTGCTCGCCAGCTCCTCGGGCGTCACGTAGACGATGCGCAGCTGCGGGTCGTACGCTATGGCGTGCGCAAGACTGCCCTCCGCAAGCTCGGGCGTGTCGAGCGGGGCGGCGCTGGGCTCGTCTGCTGCGGCAGGCGCCGCACCGTCCGAGGGCCGCCCGTAATGAGCGCCGTGCATGGCGCGCCCGACACTCCACCCGAGCCGCGTAAGCTCCGCAAAGTCGGCGTTCGTGCGCGCCGTCTGCTCATGGATGAGCTCGACCAGCGGCTGCAGGACGACGATGAGCGTCCAGTCGGGCGCCGCATACGCAGCCGCCTGGTAGGCGGCAGATTTTCCGGCGCCCGTCGCCGCGCAGAGGAGGACGTCTCCCCCGTCGGACTGCAATTGCAGCACCTGGCGCTGGTGGCTGTAGGCCTCGCGCCCGAGCGCGCGGAGAGCCGCGACCGCACGGTCGGCGGCACTCACGCCCGCCTCGCTCAATGCCGCGCATTGGTCGCTCTCCACAGTGCGAGGCCGCGTGTCGTCCGACATCACGCGCCGGGTGCCGCTCCTGAGACCAGGCGGGCGAGCGTCACCGCCGGGGCGGCGCCAGGGCGGCCGCGTGGCCGGCCATATGTGCGGCGAGCGGCGCTCGTGGCGGCGCTCCGAAGGCGGCGCCGGTGAGCACTGCGCGCGCGCGGAGAGGTCCGGAGCGCGGGCGCGATTGGGGAGATGCATGTGGGAAGGCCACCTATCGGGTCGCCGGGCCGTCGCGGCACCATCCACGCCGCTGAGGCGCCGACGCGGTATAGGGGGTCCACGAGCTGGGCCCACGGCATTCGAGTGCGAACAGCTAGGGAGGTCCCCCCGTGGGCCGACCCTCCGATTTTATGAGAAGAGAACAAAGGGAGTGAAATAGTACAAACCCAATTTTCTTTTTCATTGTTGTAGCCTAACAAAGGTACAAGAATCTGTCATTGCCGCCCAGGCCTCCTCCCGATTTTTTTGTCTCGAAGCCGAACGCATTTCTCAATTCAACTACTCCTCTTCGCATGTAGAATTTTACACAACAAAACTCCGTGTTTGGAAATCCGAACTCGGGAGGCGTCGTTTCGCGCGCTATCAAGGCCCCCTCCGGCTGCGGCTCGGTGACCCATGCGGGCAGCCTACCACGGGCACGGCACACCCTGGGGCTCGTCGGCGGGGAGTGTCCCCTTCGCCATGCAACGTGGTAGGGCGTCCCCCGACGTGCTTGCGCACGTGCAGCGTGCCGCCGCGCTCATGGAGGCGGACGTGCTGGCCCTCCCGGTCTCTGCCGACAAGAGGAGCGGACACGTCAACCGGGAAGGCCACTACCACGGCCTCGGCATTGCGTCGCGCGTCTGTGGCGCCGAGACGACGCCCAAGCCCGCCGCGCCAACCGGGCTGCGGGCGCTGCTGGTCTTTCTCCGCGCCCAGGCGACCCCTCCACTCCTCGCACGCCTCGGTCCGCTGGAGGCGTCGAGCCCGTTCGCAAGCCTCCTGAGCTCTATTCTGCGCCGGGGTGGTCTCTTTGCGCACCTGTCGGTCCAGGTCCACTCGGGTGGGACATGGGGTCCGGGATGGCACGTAGACCACCCCGTTTCATCACTCCACCTCGGCATCGCTCTGCATGGGCTGCGGACGCTCCATGCCAACTGCAGCGGCGGCGCATTCGCGCGCTGCCCCATCGCGGCGACAACACAGCCAGCGGGAAGCATATACTTTTCTTCCCCTGCCGCGTTTCAACACGGCGTTGTCTACCCCGAGCATAGGGGCGGTAGCTTTGCCGAGAGCATCGTCGCCGTGCAAGCGCGTCTCCTGTCAAACAGCAGCGGCGAAGCCTTCCGCCTCGACTCGGCTAAAATGGGCCGCGATGCAAGGACGACATTTGCCGCAGTGGCCGAGGCGCTGCTGGCGATCCCGCTCAAGCTGCCCTCTCTTGAGGAGCTCCGCGTGGCCGAGTCCCTGCTTGCCGTTGATGAATCCTCGATAGTTGCTGGGTACCGCGCGCCCGGAGAAGAAGCTTCATGCCAGGCAGCGTCAGCACATGAGGTGCGGCGGCGGTTGCCGCGGAATAACGCGCAACGTGGCACGGCCGCAGGGGAAGAGCGAGAGGTCGCGGGGATCGGCGCGTCGTCCCAGCACCGATGGGGCCGGATGTGAGGGGGATGGTGAATTGGTGATGTGGGGGGCAAAAGGCATCCGCATTAAGACGCACCTTCGCTGCATTCTCTTTTTCGTCTCTGTGAGAAGGGTCTGTTTTGCGTAACGCAGGGTTCGTGATTTCACAAGGAAAAACAGCGAATCGATTTCACTTTCACTTTCAGCTTTCACGACTTCGCGCACACATTTCATGTGAAACGAAATTTCACTTTTCCGAGCGAGTGTGAACGTGAATAAGGACGGATGCTCCCACCGAGCTCCGACACGCTGACACTCACTTCACACTTGCAAGTGTTGGCTCCACCAGCAGCAGCCAAGCGATGAAGGAGGCTCACGCTGAGCTGATGTGTGCACTAGACCAATATGAATATCTTGGCGTGCTGTGGGCGAATACGGTGCCGATGGTGGGATGAACTCTCTTAGCAGTCGAGAGTCGACTCTCGACGCATTGGGAGGGCGGCCGCGGCGTTGTAGGGGCGGCGGCGAGCTCCCGGTGGCAAATACTCGCCTCACAGTCCAAGATGGCGGCTCGCGTCCCCGGCCGTGCACCAGCGTGCCTCTCTAGTCCCGCCTGCCACCCAGATACCGAGGGCGGCGCGCACTCTTCGACTTGGGCTATTATCTGGCCTCGGGAGGGCGGCGGCGGCGGTGTAGAGGCGGCGGCGAGCTCCCGGTGGCAAATACTCGCCTCACAGTCCAAGATGGCGGCTCGCGCCCCCGGCCGTGCACCAGCGTGCCTCTCTCTAGTCCCGCCTGCCACCCAGATACCGAGGGCGGCGCGCACTCTTCGACTTGGGCTATTATCTGGCCTCGGGAGGGCGGCGGCGGCGGCGCAGGGGCGGCGGCGAGCTCCCGGTGGCAAATACTCGCCTCACAGTCCAAGATGGCGGCTCGCGCCCCCGGCCGTGCACCAGCGTGCCTCTCTCTAGTCCCGCCTGCCACCCAGATACCGAGGGCGGCGCGCACTCTTCGACTTGGGCTATTATCTGGCCTCGGGAGGGCGGCGGCGGCGGCGCAGGGGCGGCGGCGAGCTCCCGGTGGCAAATACTCGCCTCACAGTCCAAGATGGCGGCTCGCGCCCCCGGCCGTGCTCTGGTGTGTCGCTTGGGTCGCCTCTGATGCTGTGTCTCGTCTTAGCCAGAAAGATATCGAGATCGTGCGACGACAACCAACCCTAACCCTAACCCTTACCCTAACCCCTAACCCTAACCCTAACGCTAACCCTTGCCTAACCCGAAGAACCCAAAGTATTCACCGAGAGCTCGTGTCGACGGACCGCTGATTCCTCCCCATTTGGCTTCGGCCCAAACCGGACCATTCTCTTAGGAGCTGCACAACGCGGCTTGAACTCTCTGACTTACCCTGTTATCCTCTAACCCTAACCCTAACCCTAACCCTAACCCTAACCCTAACCCTGACCCTAACGACACGGTGCTCCTTAAGAGGTCGTGCGCGTCGCTGCCGACGCATCTCGCGTGTATGGTGTATTTGCAGTGTATTTGTATTTCGGCGGGGACGGCATTAAAAGAACATTGAGGCTACACACACGTCCTCGAGCGCCTGAGCCCCGAGCAGGACACACGAACTAAGCTGCTCTCGCACCTCCTCTCACTAGTTACTCGGTTGGGCTCTCTCCTTTCTATACTTCGTCGCTTTCACCCGCGTTTGGATGCAAACTTGTGAAATTTTCAGTGAAACGGGGGCGGCCGAAACGTTTCATGTGAATTCACATGTGAAAGTGAAAGGGTGAAATTTCACTCACGAACCCTGGCGTAACGTTGCTCGTCTGTCTGCTATAGCCGCAGCCACTCCCCCAGCTGCTCGGTGTGAACAGACGAACAGAGTTCGTGAACAGCAGGGAGTCCGCAACTCGAGATCCCTCGAGAGTTCAAGCGGAGTCGGCTGGGGCTATACCAGACAGCCCTAACGTTGCTTACACAAAAATGCGGTCACACGGACTGGCCGCCGCAAAACGTGACGAGCACGTGGCAATGACCGATGTCGGATGTGTGGGTGTGCGGGCCCGCGCGCTCCCGCGCGCCGCGCGGCCCCCGGCCCGCGAGGCACGACCGGCCCCGCGCCGAGACGCAGACCGTTGGCGCGCGGAGTCTGATGTCCGCAGTCCGGAGAGAGACACGCACACCGAAGTCGCCAGTGGCGGAGCGAGCGCAGAGCTCGGAGGGGGCGGGGCGGAGACGCGGGACGCGTCGCGTCTCGCGTGTCGGAAGTGTGGATCTTGTTTCAAAAATGAATCACGAATCAGGCCGGCCGCCACCACATCACAGGACGCATGGGGCTGGAGCCTGGACATGCCATGCATCGAGATCAGAGGTGAGCGGCTAGCAGAGTGTGGGCGCGGATATAGCATATAATGATCTAGCGAACTCTCTCTCGGGTCTGCTCTCTCTCTGACTCTTCGTCTTACTCTTAGCTCTTACTCCAAAATTAAATATTCTTAGCTTCGCCCTTGCCTCCGACGCTGGGGACAGAACCACACCAGTATCAGACCAGAGGGACTGCCCCCCTCCCCCACCTGCCCTGCTTACACAGGATAGCATGCCCCGAGAGCGGCGACATTTGGCAGGGGTAACCTGGGAAGGAGGTTTGGTTGTGCTTTTTTCTTTTTTGCTCTCGGGGGAATGTTCTCTCGGCGCCCATGGCCTTCTGAGGTTTCGTACTAATGACGTCCTTCTTGGCACTTCGGGCGTCGGTTGTGCGTATCTGTGGTGTCTAATTCCCCCGCTAATGTGTTACGGGTATCGGTCGCCGAGTGAACGCCACCTCTAGACCATCTGATCTACTCTGCTTACTTCGGCCGTCGGCCGCTCGGTGGTCGAGTGGCTTCCGGATCGAATCGGCAGCTTGACCCTTATAATTTTTTCACACCTGAGCGGGCCCAATTTTGCTCAGACGCTTAGCGCTTGGTGTGCGTTCGTTTTTTTCGTCACGGGTTTAGCTCTTACTCCAAGTACTCTACTCGTGTGTGACCCGCGTTGTAAAAAATGAGTTGTCGGTCTTTCGCACAAAAAGGCAAAGTCCAAAGATACGTTCCAACGCACACACTTCACCGCGTGTCGGTCTTGTATATTGACCTCTACTTTTGAATTACGAATTACGTCTCTAAATTACCAGTATGGCAAGTAATCAGTCACGTTAGTACACGTAGATCGCAGTTCCCTTGGTACGTAGTTCCCTTGCGCCTTGGTACGACATGCGCCCCCCGCCGCCCGGGAGAACAGATAACAAGGCACATGCACGTGCACTCCCCACGCTGCACACACCCGTCCAAGAGTCGCGTTTAACGTACGGCTACACAGGACACACGCCCCGATCCCCTATGTGCGCAGGCTTTACTGCGGCCCGCCTCGGCAGACCCCACACCCCGCGTGCTACGGCGCGTCCATCCATGGCCCTCGCGAGTCCCGCCTCCAGCCCGCCTCGGTCCCGCGCCTGCCGATTATAAGATGGCGCAGCACGACATGCCGTCGTCCCGACGTTCGGTCACAACCTCTGGGAGGGGCGGCAGCTGCGCAAGCGCCGCCTCGAGCACCTAGCACACGGGGGTGGCGGAGGGGTGGGCGGGAGGAGACCCGCGGCGGGTGTCCCACGCGTGTGGACGGAGGGGCGGAGGGGTGTCGGGCGGAGGGGTGTCGGGCGGGGGGGTGTCCGCCACCGGCACGACTTTCGCGAAGTCGGGTCTGGCCGCCGGACTTGCGGACCAGCAGGCGAGGACGGCCGCATGCAGCTCGGGCAGAGCCTCGACGGCGGCGGGCAAGGCGGCGCGCCGCCCTCCCTCGCACACCTCGGAGAGGTACGTCTTTGGCTCCATCCAGAAGAACGGCTTCTTGTGCGCCTGGGCGGTGCGGCGGCGCACGTCGAAGGGGGTGGGGCGAGGGGGCCGGGAGGAGGGGGCCGGGAGGAGGGGGCCGGGAGGAGGGGGCAGGGAGGAGGGGGCAGGGAGGAGGGGGCAGGGAGGAGGGGGCAGGGAGGAGGGGGCAGGAAGGAGGGGCGTTCGAGGCCGCAATGCGGGCCCTCCACGGGGTGCCGCGCGCCGTCAGCTCGAAGACCATCGACGCCCACGAGAAGACTTCAGCCTTGTGCGAGTACGGCTGGCAGAGTGCGACCTTGGGGGGGGCGGGGGAGGGGGGGGGGGGGGAGAGGTGGCACCAGTCGGAGGGGGGGAAAAAGGAGGAGGGGGTCTGCCTCGGCGTGTGCGAGGGGAGGCCGCCCGCCTCAGGCGCCATGTAGCGCAGCGAGCCGGTCTGCGCCGTCAGGCAGCGCCCCTCGCCCTCCTCCTCGCGCGCGGAGCGCTGCCACAGCTTGCAGAGCCCAAAGTCCATCAGCACGACTCGGCCGCCCCGCGCGAGCCTGTGGCGGCGGGGCGGGCGAGGCGTTGGGGCGGCGGCGGTGAGCCGAGTGGCGGTGCGGTGCGGGGGGGGGCTGGAGGGTCGGGACGGGCTCCGAAGGTGTCTGGGGAGAGAGGGCAGCCGGAGGGCAGCGGGAGGGCAGCGGGAGGGCAGCGGGAGGGCAGCGGGAGGGGCGGGCAGCTCACCCGATGTTGGTCGGCTTGAGGTCGCGGTGCAGGAGGCGGTAGCCGGGCATGTACTCGTCGTGGCAGTAGCGGAGCGCGCGTGCGATCTGCAGCGCAACGTCGAGCCCGCGCTGCACCGGCCACCGCTTCACCCCCTGCGCGCGCACCCACGGCATCACGTTGCCCGGGTCCTCGGGCGGCAGCTGCTTCGAGAGGGGTTCGACCAGCTCCAGGCAGCCGAACGGGACCGAGCCGAGCCTGCCCGGGTCGACCAGCGAGGGCCGCTGCCCGTGCGCCTTGAGCCGGATGACATTTCGGTGGCGCGCGCGAGACAGCACCGTCAGCTCGCGAAGCAGATCGGCGCACGCCACCTCGCCGCCCTCCCGGCTCCGCCTCAGCGTCTTGACGGCGCGGTCGGCGCCTTCTGCGAGCGTGACGTGCACCGTGCAAAACTCGCCCTCGCCCATCTTTGTCATGGTGTCCAGGTTCGGCGTGAAGCCGGAGCCTCCCAAATCGGACCACAGCAGCTCTGGCACCGCCGGCTGCTGCAGCGGCGCGAGCCCGGCGACCCACGCCGGGCCGTCGAGCTGCGTCACCGCCGTATTTGCGCCGCGCATGAGCTTGGACGCCGTCCGCCACGCCTCGCGGTTCTCCTCGCTCGCCGCCGAGATCGACCTTTCATCAACGAAGGAGCCGCGCTTCTCGACCAGGTTGCGCCTGACGCCGGCCGACGAGCGGCGGGCCGCGTACTTGTGCGCCGCCTCCTCGTCGTGGGCGCGCCACGAGCCGGGAGGTGCGGGCGCCTTGCCCGCGGTGGGCATATACACAAACGTCGTTGCGACAACCCTTGCGACAAACCGGAACGCGCCGACTTCCGAGATCAAGGGGTAGCACAAGAAAGGGAGACACATATGCTGATTTCTTCCTGCCGGGCCCGAGTCAGTCAGTCAGTCCTAGGATTCGAGGTTTTTAGGGGGTAGGGTACGGTAGGGTCAGGGCCCTGGCACCGCGAACATACCCCCCCCACCCGCACACACGCATGCTCCACGCACGCGCAGCAAGCGAGACCGAGAGGCCGTGGAAAACGCTTAAAATGGCACAGATTTACGATTTTCCGCGCGCTGCGCGCGCCGAGCACGGCCACGGCGCCAAAAAAGTGCTTGCCGGAGTCCGTTTTCAGTGGACGGACCCGAAAAAATTTCTTCGCCCGCGCTGGCGCGCGCGGTCAGTCAGTCCCCTATGTGCCACGGTTTTTTTGCCGTGCTACCCTGTGCCGAGATCCGGCACCAACACGGACCGGACGGTGTATGATGATGCAGCAGATGTCGGCGAGCGCCCCTTCGTCCGCCACACGCAGCAGATCTCCATGGCGGCGGTGGCGGGCGACGCCGAATCAAGAAGCCAGCTCGCAAGATGCGTACCAAGTGGGTCAACTCCCCTGAGCGTGCCAACTGGGTCAACGAAAGAAAACACACAACCCAAGGGAGGGATGGGAGAACGGCACGCCGCCACCACACAGGGATTTTAAGGAGAGGAGTGTGGTGCGCTAGCCGTCGCCCACCCTGGGGAGTCTGCCTCTTCGTATCTCTTTTCGCAGTCTCTCGCCGCTTCTCGCTGCAACCTTCATGCCACCTCGCGGCCGTCCCACTCTCGTCGGTCTCTCCCTTGTCACTTCCTCCTCTGTCGCGTCGTTCTCTTCTGCCTCGTCCTGCGACGCCGCCGCCTGCCGGTCCCTTGTTCTCGCGGCTTCTTTCGCCTTGCGCAACTCCGTCCTCCTCGCGGCGTATCCTGGCCCCTCGAGTCTATCAAGCTCCCCTCGCGCAAGGACCACATTTCTGACTCCCACTCCGATCATTTGCCTACACGTCATGTTGTTGCTCAGGTCCACTCTCTCTTCGAACACTCGTGCCTCTACGGATGATGCCGGCGCTGGGGTCCCCTTCGGGTGCATCGTGACATCTGACAACTGAATTTCCACTGGTTCGTCCTCCTCCGAGTCATCTTCCCCGTCCTCCTTCCGCTCGGCCCTTCGCTCGGTACGTTCGGTGTGGCTCACCCTCCATGCCGTGAACAGGCGCTTTATCCACCCTATATTCTTCTCTCGTTCCTCTGCCCTTGCCTTGGTCTTGTCGTTGTTTCGCACCCATGTCTGTATGGCAATCGAGGCTGCCTTCCCCACTACCTGAAGTTCACTCGTCACCTCTCCCGCGAGCTCCCTTCTCTTTCTTTCGGGTATGGAGTCCGTGAGTGCGGGTAGCGTGCAGGCAATCACGGGTGCTATTTTGTCGTACTC